CCGGGCATCTGCACCGCACAGCCCCCCCGGGCACCGGCAGTGTGCACTGGGCACCGGGAGCGTGTACCGGGCACCGGGAGCACCCACCGGCACCAGGAGCATGGAGCACCCACCGGGCACTGGGAGCATGTACTGGGCACCAGGAGCACCCACTGGCACCAGGAGCACCCACCGGGCACTGGGAGCATGTACTGGGCACTGGGAGCACCCACTGGCACCGGGAGCACCCACCAGGCACTGGGAGCACCCACTGGGCACCAGGAACATGCACCAGGTTCCAGGGGAGCCTCAGTTCACTTGCCTTTGAGGTAAATAACTGAAGTTTATACACGTTTCCTGCTGTTTGTAGGAGGATTTAATAGTATTGAATAATTATAATAGGTGTTTTTCAATCTTTGTGTAGCATAATTGTATTTTTTTGCACATATTTTGGAGACATTATTTCCATGGGGCATTTAAACCCAAGCGGCTGGCTCACGGCCAGCCCAAGGGCAGCCACGGTTTTATGACTTGGTGCAGGGAGGCTTGGGGCTGTGGGAAGGGGCTGCTCTCAGGGCACCCGCGAGGCACAGAAAGAGCATCCAAATTTTTGTGTGTGTTTTTGCCTCCTTAGTGATGCACTGGCCGTCATTCAGGGGAGCAGCATACTCCGAGATGCAAACTCGGAGCCTGCTCTCAGCCAGGATAGACCTGGGGCCGGTCCTCCAGCGCCGCTGCCCCAGCCCCAACGTGCAACCTGCTCCAACGTGCTCCAACCCCACGGCCCCGCGCCTCGCGCCCCTCTCCATGCTGCGCGCTCCCGGCACTGCGCTGCCCTGGCAGGACATGCCACGTGTGGGAGAGCCGCCGGGCTGCAGGGCCCTCTGCTCACGTGGCCTGGGCTCCCTCCAGGCAGGCACTGGGCACCATGGCAGCTGGAGAGCTGGAAAGGAGAAGGACCAGCGCACGGATGCTAACCCCCATGCCCCGGGGCTGGCGGCTGCAGAGAGGACCACAGCCACGGCCCCCAGCACAAGGCCTAGGGAGCTGAATGTGTGTTTGGGGAGCAGAGTGCGATGCCTGGGGAGTGGGACATACACGGCCTGGGGAGCAGGATGTGCATGGTCTGGGGAGTAGGATGTGCATGGCCTGGGCAGCAGGATGTGCATGGCCTGGGCAGCAGGACGTGCATGGCCCTGGGAGCAGGGTGCAGAGCCTGGGGAATGGGTGAGGTGTCCAGGGTGCAGGACGCAGGCACCAGGCAGCAGGACGCAGTGGC